TTTCGATCACTGTAGGTTAGGAATGCTTCTTTATTACGAATACCTTTTGGGTTAGGAATGGTTTACCCCAAGCTCAACAATTTTCTTATTAAATCATTTCTCTCAGGCAGTGGATTCCGTAACTTTCAATTATTCATCGTGGTACTATTATTTCCAACCTACCCTAATCTTTATGCCTATTCAACAAGACCATTATATTTTTGAAAATCCTATATCACAGTAATGTCAACAATTCTGACATTATCATTTTACTGTACTTGTGTTATCGCCTATGTGTAATCTTTCCTCACTCTTGTCAATCATTTTTTGTACTTGTGTTAAACAGTTCAAAACCTTTATGAATGATTGGCAAGTCCAACCACTTCCAAATCTCATTATTATTGAAAATCAGTGAATATGGTGATACAAAACCTATTTTATATTTATATTATATTTTATTCAATTATTCATTCATTTGTTCTTTTTCAATCTTTCCTTCATTCTTTCTCACATTCACTCTTTCTTTCCTTCATTCTTTCTCACATTCACTCTTTCTTTCCTTCATTCTTTCTCACATTCACTCTTTCTTTCCTTCATTCAATCTTTCCTTCATTCTTTCTTTTCCTCATTCAATCTTTATTTCATTCTTTCACACTTTCTCTCTTTCCTTCGCTCTTTTTTTCCTTTATTCTTTCTCACCTTCTCTCTTTCTTTCACTCTTTCTTTCCTTCATTCTTTCTTTTCTTCATTCAATCTTTCCTTCATTCTTTCTCACATTCACTCTTTCTTTCCTTCATTCAATCTTTCCTTCATTCTTTCTTTTCTTCATTCAATCTTTCCTTCATTCTTTCTCACATTCACTCTTTCTTTCCTTCATTCTTTCTTTTCTTCATTCAATCTTTCCTTCATTCTTTCTCACATTCACTCTTTCTTTCCTTCATTCAATCTTTCCTTCATTCTTTCTCACATTCACTCTTTCTTTCCATTTTACTGTACTTGTGTTATTCGCCTATGGTGTAATCTGTTCCTCACTCTTGTCAATCATTTTTTGTACTTGTGTTAAAACAGTTCAAAACCTTTATGAATGATTGGCAAGTCAACCACTTCCAAATCTCATTATTATTGAAAATCAGTGAATATGGTGATACAAAACCTATTTTATATTTATATTATATTTTATTCAATTATTCATTCTTTCTTTCCTTCGTTCAATCTTTCCTTCATTATTTCTTTCCTTTGTTCCTTCTCACCTTCGCTTTCTTTCCTTTGTTCTTTCTCACCTTAGCTCTTTCTTTCCTTCATTCTTTCTTTTCTTCATTCAATCTTTCCTTCATTCTTTCTTTTCCTCATTCAATCTTTATTTCATTCTTTCACACTTTCTCTCTTTCCTTCGCTCTTTTTTTCCTTTATTCTTTCTCATTATCACTCTTTCTTTCCTTCATTCTTTCTCACCTCTCTTTCTTTCACTCTTTCTTTCCTTCATTCTTTCTCACCTTCTCTCTTTCTTTCACTTTCTTCCCTTCATTCTTTCTCACATTCGCTCTTCATTCTCTCCTTCATTTTTTCTTTCCTTCATTCAATCTTTCCTTTGTTCTTTTTCACCTTCTTTCTTTCCTTCACTCCTTTCCTTCTCACCATCACACTTTCTTTCCATCTTTCTTTCTCACATTCACTCTTTCTTTCCATCTTTCTTTCTTACATCACTCTTTCCTTTGTTCTTTCTTTCCTTCGTTCCTTCTCACCTTCACTCTTTCCTTCTTTCGTTTCTTCTTTATTTCTTTCCTTAATCCTCCCCTCACTCACTCCATCTTTCACCTCCTACTCCTTCTCTTTCACTTTTATTGATAAGTTTAGCAGGAAGGGAAGAAATCTGGTTATAATAAAAGAACAAATAATGTTGTATTTTTATACATAGAACATTATTGACAATATACTGATGTAATTTGTAATCTGAAGAGAGAAAGTGTTAACAGGTAAAAAATATAGTATAAAGTCAACAATGCAATTAATATTAAATTAATATTCATCTTGATTAAGTGTTAATTAACATATTTAAGTATTAAAACAAATTAATTATCATGTCAGAATTTATGTATTTCTAAATAAATTTTGTAAAAAGAGGCAGAAAATGCACTTGCAAATATATTTGCTTTTTTTTTTTCTTACAAGACAAAATCTAAATTGATTTTGAAACAACTGCAGTGTTTCCATACCAAAATACTTCAGTGTTTATCCACTGTGAGTAAAACATCTCCCATCCCTGCAGCCAAGTTTCATAGAAACAAACAAGAGAAATAGATCTGTACAGCAACTTAGAATTCTTATGAGCTGGCTCAATTCCAGCCCAAAAATCATGTTCAGTTACTATGAAAGATGACATATATTTGAAAATAATACATTTTCACATATTTTAAGAATCTAATACTGCTTGTCAAGCATAACATCAACTAAAAGTAACAATATAAATAATTAACAAAACATAAAAGAGACAATAGTATATGTAGAGGTAACCTCATTATTTACAATGCAACAGCTATGTCTGACAGCTTCTCAACATAAAACACAAAACCACAACCTCATCTTAATCCACTTTTAAGCTCTGTTTAAATGTTAAAAAATAATTAACTTGTGTATACATAATGCAAGCAAATTAAATACAATAATAGTATATTCTATTCTTTGGTATTAAGTGCAAGTTCATCTTTGATTCCCTGGAAGAGCATAAATTGGTTTCAATACTATATCACAAAAAAGCACTTCAAGTAAATCCTCCTGCCTATCACCTAGCAGATCTCTGGAGCTCTAATCTTAACAAAGAGGACTAGTGAAGAGGTGCGTGTAGAACTCTGGCTCGTTCATTTCATATCTGTATTTCTGGACCATCTCCTGGATGCGAAGCTTGCGTTGAACATGTGGAGGTTGATAGCTGAAAATTAGTTTGAATTAGCCTGACAATTACCAGAGAGAAACTACAAAGATAACATGGTGGAGTGACAAATTTTACATCTGCTACTACCAGAGTTTCTAAATGAAATCTGTAAATCTGTTGATTGTCTTTACTCAAGCATATACTGTAATATACACTAATCAATGGTATAAAACAAATACACACATATATGCACACTCACTCACTCACTCACTCACTAACTCACCCACCCACTCTCCCACCCATCCATTCAACTGTTTAAGATAAAAATAATGAAACTTGTCACTTACCTATCACTCTCCAGCCGTTTACGTCTGCACATATTGAGAGCTGTCTGTCTCACCAAAGTCCCAAGAACACGCCTGCTCACAACCTGGCCATCCACAAGTGGTCCAGCCATGCTCAATCTGTTATGAAAAATACTACACTGTCAGAACTAGGGTTGCAAAATCTGAATAGAAAACTTTTGAGTGCAACAGCACTCCAAATCCATTTAAGGTACCTTAAACTCTGTCTCTAACTACTTATATTATGCCCAAAAGAGTTAGCTGGAAATCTTAACACAATACAGCTCATATAACAACCCTTATTATTTATTTGGCATCAGAGTTGGTATAAATCTTACTCTGAATCATACTGAGCCTTAGAATACAATAACTGCTTCCAACTCTAACCCATAATACCTTTCCTGTCCATCCTTCCATGCTTAGGAAAAAATATAAAAACTAATGACATATAAAAAAAAAAAACATACTGCACAACCATTAGCATAATGAAAGCATAGTACACCCTCTTTACATAACAGTGGGCAATAATAACTAGAGAAAACTTCCATTTCCTTAAATCCAAACTTTCAAGTAGAATTTCTATCAGTTTTGTTTGCAAAAGGTTCTTTCACAAGTAATTAGTCTCTTGATTTCACCCGTCTAACCCATTCCTCTTTTTTTAAGGACAAAAAAGGTTATATTTCTACTACTATTACATTCTTGCTATTATTAGTATCATCATCATCATCAGTATTATTATGATGTTATCTACACTAATAACACAAGAATTAAAGAAATTCAGGAAAAAACATTATTTTTATTATAGACATTATAATTACTATAATGTTATTGGCATTAGTAACAGCAGTATAATATTACATAAAGTATTTTTGAAAATCAAGGAAATGGGTAAAGAGGTGAGAAAAGTAGTATTCATAATTGGATCATTGGTGACTTAGTACAAGTATAATATTACATAAAGTATTTTTGAAAATCAAGGAAATGGGTAAAGAGGTGAGAAAAGTAGTATTCATAATTGGATCATTGGTGACTTAGTACATTTATATGCAAAAACAATTAATAAACTAAACACACTGTGGACAGGGCATGTAAGTACTTACATGCCACACCTGTCAGTTTTGGGTTAATACATTCAATCCTAGCTTTAACGGCTTAAAGGAATTAACCCATTCGCCCCGGAATTATGTTCTGTCCTCTGTAGTTTTTGATGAATTTTGTTACATACAGATGGCTCCACATGTACTCAGCCGGCAAGGAGTCTATCAGTAGGCCCTAGTTACCGACCCTGATTCTCCCACATTGCTATCGATACTGTTATTATTGTTATTGATATTATGATTATTAAATTGTCATTAGAATATTTTAGACAATGAAATGACACAAAAAAAACTTTTCCTAAAGTGAAGGAAGAGGGTAAACAGGTGAATTAGGTAGTTCTTGATAACTGGCTATTTGCTGATTAAGAACTTGTGGAGCCATCTATGTGTAAATACAATAAATAAACGTGTCTCAAAGTGGGTATGGCATCTATTCTTGCCACATGTGGCGAATGGGTTAACTTGAAATAAGTAATATAAAAGTATCCTTTAACAAACACTTACTTGGCATTCTGACCCTGCAGTTTAATCCTGAAGAGTCCATTTGTGAGAGCATGAATGAATATAATATATATGACAGCTTCCTTTTCCTTCCATGAGCTTGACTCCCTGCCAGTTACTGTTTCAGGAAGCAATTCATCTGAAAGGTCAAAAATAACATGAATATTTAAGAGAACACTGAAAAGCATCTTACGCAAGAAATTTATTCTGTATCTGCATATACAGATGTTTTTTTAATTGAGCAGGTACTTTGATTAAAAATCATATGTAAATGAATATAAAATGTCTGTCACTTAAAGCAAAGATTTTAACTTTACTATCACTGTTCTGAAGTGCACAATCAGTATGTTCCTGTCACTAAACCTTTTATCCTTTTATGCATTGTTCTATCACAGTTTAATATGTTAACACATATAATGTGTTAAAATACTGTAAATTATAATAGAATTACTAATACAATTACTTTTTTACAAAAGTCTGTTTAACTGCAGCTTGTAATAGTTTTTTGTACTTGCTCTCATCATTTTTCTGATTAACAGAAAATGTCAGTTTTTTCCTTAATCACAAAAAAGCACCAATTCAGAAATGTACACACATACATGCAGGTTTGTTTATGCATACTTGACAAATGTCTACACCATACAACTCCAGAACATTCCAAAGAACAATGTCACTACACAATGTTATCAAAGTTAGTTAATTTAGATGGCTTTAACAATTATAATAAATGATCATTCAGATTTCTTTGAACTTCATATGTTTAGATATAGAAAACCATTGACCCTATACCAACATAATTAACTTTATGAAAAATAGTCTACATTCTACATAGTCTTGATTCTGTTCCAGTTGCAGTTTCTTACCTTATGTTGATAAAATTTCCATCAAAAAATACATTTTCAAGCTTCTGTCATGAATAAGACAATTTTTACTTACTTGCTGGAAAAGTGTAGCAGTCATCAAAACTCTCCAGCCACACAATAAACACTTTGTGGTCACTGCATGCCATAGCACTTGTCTGTCTCCCAAATTTCCTATTCCTATTTTCACCATGTCCAAAAGACAACTGAAAAGAAAAGGTGTGCATATAGTCACAAACCAGAACAAAAGCTAGAGCTTGAAAGAGTTACATAATTATCAAAACAGAAGTAAAACAAAAGGAAAAGGTTACCATACCTTCTAACATAAGACTCACCTGTGAAGTGTGTGAAGAGAGGGACGACCCTGCATCAACATCTGGATCGTAAGAAGGGAGCGAGTCAGAGCGCTCACTTCCTGATCCACCTCCACCTCCTGCAGCAACCTTTTCATTTGGGTCCAGGACAATCCCACCTGAAACAGTCAATAAAACTTACATATGGGACACAAAAATCAAAACAGATTTATGAATGTACCATTATATAAAGAGCAACTGTCTCCTCAAATAAAAAAAAAACTCTAACTGAGGAAACTACATAACACCGTGCCCATGTACAAACAAATATGAACATCAGACAAGAAGGATGCTGAATAATTAACTTACCGGGACTGGAAGTACTCCCTAGGGACTGCTGACTGCCTTGATTCTGTTGAGCTATAGCTGGAGACGGCACTACAAAGGCTACCTCACTCAGGGCATCAGACCAATAAAGGACATGAGAACGGCCACTAAAGCAGCTGCCTCCATGGTTCAAATCTGCTATTACTTTAGCGGTAGGAAGAAAATAATAACATGAAAGCCTTTATTCCTACTGCAAGAATTCTAGTATATTAACTTTAAGTGCATTTGTCAGTTTACTGCATCTGCTGTGTATTTGCTAATACAATAGAGCATTCTTCAAAAACGTACACTGCATTTTCATTTTTTTTTATAAAACACCTTCTACAATTAATATTTTGTCTCAGAAATACATGATTAAAGGAAAAAATCATGGACTGTTGTCCAACTATGTGTCAATTTTTCCTTCTTTCTTTTTTTAGCATCTTTAATTTTCTGTTCTCATTAGCAGCCACAAAATACTATCTAGGAGGCTTTCAATAAAAATTCAACTATCTCTATCCATATCTCTAGCAACATTAACCCCAAAGAACTGTAAGCCTTCATCTGTGACCCGGGCCACAAAAAGGGCCTGATAAATTTTTTCCTTTCAATAAAGCAAATTTTAGTTGCTATCAGTTCAAGAACACACCAGATAATGTATATTTCCTTTTTATATATCAAGTACATAAAGCATAAATGGAGTTCAAATCATGTTTATATAATAGAAAATAACAGAATATGTATTCAGATGTATGAATAACAAAAACACAATGATACACCAAAAGGTAACTCTGTGATACAAAATAGTATGGTGTGGGGATGGGGAATGTGGGAGAAGAAATAAATCACTCACTCACTCACTCACTCACTCACTCACTCACTCACTCACTCACTCACTCACTCACTCACTCACTCACTCACTCACTCACTCACTCACTCACTCACTCACTCACTCACTCACTCACTCACTCACTCACTCACTCACTCACTCACTCACTCACTCACTCACTCACTCACTCACTCACTCACTCACTCACTCACTCACTCACTCACTCACTCACTCACTCACTCACTCACTCACTCACTCACTCACTCACTCACTCACTCACTCACTCACTCACTCACTCACTCACTCACTCACTCACTCACTCACTCACTCACTCACTCACTCACTCACTCACTCACTCACTCACTCACTCACTCACTCACTCACTCACTCACTCACTCACTCACTCACTCACTCACTCACTCACTCACTCACTCACTCACTCACTCACTCACTCACTCACTCACTCACTCACTCACTCACTCACTCACTCACTCACTCACTCACTCACTCACTCACTCACTCACTCACTCACTCACTCACTCACTCACTCACTCACTCACTCACTCACTCACTCACTCACTCACTCACTCACTCACTCACTCACTCACTCACTCACTCACTCACTCACTCACTCACTCACTCACTCACTCACTCACTCACTCACTCACTCACTCACTCACTCACTCACTCACTCACTCACTCACTCACTCACTCACTCACTCACTCACTCACTCACTCACTCACTCACTCACTCACTCACTCACTCACTCACTCACTCACTCACTCACTCACTCACTCACTCACTCACTCACTCACTCACTCACTCACTCACTCACTCACTCACTCACTCACTCACTCACTCACTCACTCACTCACTCACTCACTCACTCACTCACTCACTCACTCACTCACTCACTCACTCACTCACTCACTCACTCACTCACTCACTCACTCACTCACTCACTCACTCACTCACTCACTCACTCACTCACTCACTCACTCACTCACTCACTCACTCACTCACTCACTCACTCACTCACTCACTCACTCACTCACTCACTCACTCACTCACTCACTCACTCACTCACTCACTCACTCACTCACTCACTCACTCACTCACTCACTCACTCACTCACTCACTCACTCACTCACTCACTCACTCACTCACTCACTCACTCACTCACTCACTCACTCACTCACTCACTCACTCACTCACTCACTCACTCACTCACTCACTCACTCACTCACTCACTCACTCACTCACTCACTCACTCACTCACTCACTCACTCACTCACTCACTCACTCACTCACTCACTCACTCACTCACTCACTCACTCACTCACTCACTCACTCACTCACTCACTCACTCACTCACTCACTCACTCACTCACTCACTCACTCACTCACTCACTCACTCACTCACTCACTCACTCACTCACTCACTCACTCACTCACTCACTCACTCACTCACTCACTCACTCACTCACTCACTCACTCACTCACTCACTCACTCACTCACTCACTCACTCACTCACTCACTCACTCACTCACTCACTCACTCACTCACTCACTCACTCACTCACTCACTCACTCACTCACTCACTCACTCACTCACTCACTCACTCACTCACTCACTCACTCACTCACTCACTCACTCACTCACTCACTCACTCACTCACTCACTCACTCACTCACTCACTCACTCACTCACTCACTCACTCACTCACTCACTCACTCACTCACTCACTCACTCACTCACTCACTCACTCACTCACTCACTCACTCACTCACTCACTCACTCACTCACTCACTCACTCACTCACTCACTCACTCACTCACTCACTCACTCACTCACTCACTCACTCACTCACTCACTCACTCACTCACTCACTCACTCACTCACTCACTCACTCACTCACTCACTCACTCACTCACTCACTCACTCACTCACTCACTCACTCACTCACTCACTCACTCACTCACTCACTCACTCACTCACTCACTCACTCACTCACTCACTCACTCACTCACTCACTCACTCACTCACTCACTCACTCACTCACTCACTCACTCACTCACTCACTCACTCACTCACTCACTCACTCACTCACTCACTCACTCACTCACTCACTCACTCACTCACTCACTCACTCACTCACTCACTCACTCACTCACTCACTCACTCACTCACTCACTCACTCACTCACTCACTCACTCACTCACTCACTCACTCACTCACTCACTCACTCACTCACTCACTCACTCACTCACTCACTCACTCACTCACTCAGTTCAAGAACACACCAGATAATGTATATTTCCTTTTTATATATCAAGTACATAAAGCATAAATTGAGTTCAAATCATGTTTATATAATAGAAACTAATAGAATATGTATTCAGATGTATGAATAACAAAAACACAATGATACACCAAAAGGTAACTCTGTGATACAAAATAGTATGGTGTGGGGATGGGGAATGTGGGAGAAGAAATAAATTGTATATTACCAGAATTACTCCCTCCATTCCCCTAAACTATACATAGAAGACAGAGGCAAGAAAACATGATTATATAATTGGCTGCAAGGAGAGGAGGGCCTGTGGGTGTGACTAGAAACTTGCTGAATAGTACCAGAAATATTTGTCCACTATATGTCACTATATGACATGGGAAAAAAAGAATGAGGTTTTGACAATTTACCAATTATTATTTACCCTTACAACAGTACTATGAGAAATATTCCTACAAATACCCATCAACATTAGCAATGAGCTGCTAACAACCCAATCACAAAAACATTCCAGTAGACACACATGATTTTAATCATTTACAGCATTTCTTTAAATATACAGTTTATCAACATGTAAATAATCTAAAGCACACAAAGGAACTGAAACATACCTTCCTGAGGTGGCGTGGTAACAGTAAAAGCTGTAGATACATGTCCTGTCCAGCCTGGGTGTTGATAAACATTGACCATCCATCCCAGCCCAGTCAGGAATTCAAGGAAGTGAGGGTGAACAGTGTTGGAGGAAACCTGAGGGCATATTCAACATTTTATTAATTCTCTCTAACACACACACACATCTCTCTCTTATCTCTCATCTCTCTCTCTTATCTCTTATCTCTCATCTCTCATCTCACACGCACTCTTTCTATCACTCTCACCCTCACTCTTACTCTTACTCTCACATACACATACACATACACATACACATACACATACACATACACACACACACGCACATGCATACACACACGCACACGCACACGCACACGCACACGCACACACACACATGCACACACACTCACACACACTCTCACTCACACTCACACTCACACTCACACTCACACTCACATTCACACTCATACTCACACACACTCACACACATACACACTCACAAACAAACTCACACACAAACACACACACACTCTCACACTCTCACACACACTCACTCACTCACTCGCTCACTCGCTCACTCGCTCACTCACTCACTCACTCACTCACTCACTCACTCACTCACTCACTCACTCACTCACTCACTCACTCACTCACTCACTCACTCACTCACTCGCTCACTCACTCACTCACTCACTCACTCACTCACCCACCCACCCACTCAATCACTCACTCACTCACTCACTCACCCACTCACCCACTCACCCACCCACCCACCCACCCACTCAATCACTCACTCACTCACTCACTCACTCACTCACTCACTCACTCCACTCACCCAACCACTCACTCACTCACTCACTCACTCACTCACTCACTCACTCACTAACTCACTCACTCTCACTCACTTTATCCATAAATAAGAATAATTCAACATTCACTTCCTTCAACAGTGGCTTCGGAACAAAATGCCATAAGACCAAACAACCGTGAGCTCACCACGTTCAGCAGAATGTCCTGGGGAGCGCTCTGGCCGGCACGGACGTAAAAGACATGAGCCGTGTCAATCGTGCGGTTGTTGGTCGTGTCTAGGAGGTCTAGGTCGCGTGCAAAGCCAGCCATACTGGAGTCCAATGCCACCAGGGATGGAACGGCTGAATCTACCGACTGCTGTGGATGAATGAGAATAAAGAAAAAAAAATATTGACAATATGTTGGTCAATAAAATTTGTTTCATATAGTAATGGTAATATTGTTATTTTTACTATTCCTAGTATTGTTATTGTTAGTAGTGTTGTATTACCATTATCATTCCCATGAATATTACCCTTACCATTACCATTACATGTGTGTGTATATATATGTATATATATGTATGTATATGTATGTATATATATGAATGTATATATATGTATGTATATATATATATATATATATATATATATATATATATATATATATATATATATATATATATATATATATATATATATATATATATATGTATGTATATATATGCATGTATTATATGTATGTATATATATGTATGTATATATATGTATGTATATATATATGTATGTATATATATATGTATGTATGTATATATATATGTATGTATATATATGCACGTATATATGTGTATGATGTATATATGTACATATATGTACATATGTATATACATATATATGTATATATATGTATATGTATATACATATATAATATATACAATATATATGTATATGTGCATATATATTCATACATATATGTATATATATGTAAATATATATAAATATATGTATATATGTACATATGTGAATAGATGTATATATATATGTGTGTGTATGTATATATATATATATATATATATATATATATATATATATATATATATATATATATATATATATATATATATATATATATATGCATTTGTATGTGTTTAGATGTATGTATATAATATATATACATACACATAAACATACAAATGCATATATAGACAAGTATATACATATATACACACACACATATATACATATATGTATATATACATATATATACATTTAAATACATATATATACATATACATATACATATAAGTATATGTGTATATATGTGTATACAGAAGTATATATACATATATATGTAAATATATACATACATACATATATTATATATATTATACATATATACACATATATACATACATACATACATATATTATATATATTATACATATATATACATATATACATACATATATAAATGTATGCATTCATATATTATACACATATATACATATATACACATACTTATATACATATATATACATACATATAAATATATATACATAAATATACATATGTGTAAATACATATATACAAATATATATATATACATACATACATATAGATATATATATACATATATATATATATATATATATATATATATATATATATATATATATATATATATATATTTATATTTATATTTATATTTATATTTATATTTATATTTATATTTATATTTATATTTATATTTATATTTATATTTATATTTATATTTATATTTATATACATACATACATACATACATATATATATATATATATATATATATATATATATATATATATATATATATATATATATATATATATATATATAATATATATATGTATGTATATAAATATAAATATATATATATATATATATATATATATATATATATATATATATATATATATATATATATATATATATATATATATATATATATATGTATATATATATATATGTATGTATATATATATATTTATATACATACATATATATAAGATTATAATTTAGTTACTGTTCACTTATTTTTTTCATTTATTTACTTACTTTTCAATTTCTTCATCTACTTATCTACCATCTTATTTACATATCTAATTATCTTTTAACTGCCTGATTTATTGACAGACTGAATGACTGACTGATTATTCATTCATCTTTCTATCTTTTCATGTACTTTTCTATTCATATCAACCAAACCAAGCATTCTACATTAAAATGAATCACTGGGTTCACGCAAGCCAAATTAAACAACACTTCAAGACCATCACTCTAACCTGTAATGCATCAAGGGACAAGAATCCAAAGTGCGACAGGAGCAGTCTGGCTGTTTGGAATTCGTGGCAGAGAGGAGGCGCAGCGCACTCTGTTTCCACGTCCGGGTATTCTGTGGTCTCTCTTTCTACCTGATGCCGAACATTGTCTTCAAACGCAACCTGTTGATTTTGTAACACAAATCTAAGATTTATAGAGTATGTTAAGGAGATTTATAGAGTATGTTAAGGAGTGTGTATCAATAAATCATTCAATTCATAATTTCTAAATTCTTCATACTTTGTATTAAAGAAAAGAAAGTAAAATAAACAATGATGTTATACAAAAATGCTTACTTGATGGTCCAAAATCTGCAAAAGTTTATCATGCTCTAGAGAAGACTTCTCATCATTCAAAATTACACTTTCCAGAGATGGAATGGACTTGTCCCTGAAACAGTGTTAATAAGCAGATTAGATTTCATGTTATTTTTAAAAAGGCTTTAATAAAAAACATTGCTCTTAAGCAAATACTCAAAAAGTTATGTAAATGCAAACAAGGTAATGACATATGCCTTATGTGACAGGTTATCTTTATCACAGTTTAAATCAGTTATTAACTTATGGAGCATTGGCACTAGTCAGGATGAGAAGAAAAGTGTGAGCCACAGCTCAGGCTGTGATAACTTATAACTGTTGATGCAACATCTGACAACAGAATCCTTATAGATTTCATTGCTGCTACTCACAAAATATAACTAAACACAAAATACACATCTACATACATACATGCCTACATACATATTTTTTCCTTTCTTTTTTATACATATATCTCTGCATATACATATATATATATATATATATATATATATATATATATATATATATATATATATATATATATATATATATATATATATATATATAATATATATATATATATATATATATATATATAATTGTGTGTGTGTATGTGTGTGTGTGTGTGTTGTGTGTGTGTGTGTATGTGTATGTGTATGTGTATGTGTATGTGTATGTGTATGTGTATGTGTATGTGTATGTGTATGTGTATGAGTGTGTATGAGTGTGTATGAGTGTGTGTGTGTGTGTGTGTGTGTGTGTGTGTGTGTGTGTGTGTGTGTGTGTGTGTGTGTGTGTGTGTGTGTGTGTGTGTGTGTGTACGTGTATGCGTACGTGTACGTGTACGTGTACGTGTATGTGTATGTGTACGTGTATGTGTATGTGTATGTGTATGTGTATGTGTATGTGTATGTGTATGTGTATGAGTGTGTATGAGTGTGTATGAGTGTGTATGAGTGTGTATGAGTGTGTATGAGTGTGTATGAGTGTGTGTGTGTGTGTGTGTGTGTGTGTGTGTGTGTGTGGTGTTGTGTGTGTTGTGTGTGTGTGTGTGGTGTGTGTGTGTGTGTGTGTATGTACATGTACATGTACATGTACATGTACATGTACATGTACATGTACATGTACATGTACATGTATATGTAAATGTAACATGTACATGTACATGTACATGTACATGTATAATGTAAATGTAAATGTAAATGTAAATGTAAATGTATATATACTCTACTCATTTGCAATCCCATCTAATTATCAGAGCACTGAAGTATTGTGATGATTAGATGGGATTGCAAAAGATATCAATCCAAAAGTCCACTCTCTAAGCGCCTGATGTTGTGACCAACAAAGTAATCTATGTTTCACTTCAGTTGTAAGCTGAATATCCTAAACAAAGAAAAAGTGATTGTAACAAATTTAAATTGCAAAAGCCAAATTCCCACAAAACTGCTCTAATAAAACTTACGCTTTGCTGAGAGGTATCCTGTCAACACTATCAGGGAAATATTTTGGTTTTACACTGTGCTTAATCCCAACATCATTCATTGGCAATGGCCGTCCTGGATTAACAGTGTACAGCTTGGCTGAAGACTTGTGTCTCGGTAAATGTCGCAACTGCATGGTCCACACCACTCTTCCAAAAGGCCCGCGGATCAAGGCAGTAACTGTTGGCTGGGGGTCTGAAGTACAGGCAAGAAATCAATGCCTCTTTCTCCAAAGGATTATACATAAAAACAAATTACAAGATCCTATGATTATCATATACAAAATCTAGGCATTCATTTTAATACCAATAAATCTGCTCTGCTTCCTACACTTAATCCATTGACACTGGAAGGCATATAGCTACATGTCATATTCACTGTGATTTTAATTCATCAATTTTGCTTACACATACAGTTCCACAAGAGCTTAGTCACCCAAGTAGTCTATTACATGTGCTACCAGATCTTACCCTTTCCCTTGTTTTTCTGAAACATTTATATTTTTATATACTGTTGTTATCAGTATTGATAATAACGTTACAATAATCCTATGTCAATAATAATAAAAATAGAAGTAATGATAGTAATAACATTGAAAAAAGTTTCCCAGATATTCAAGGAATGGGGATATCATATCTTGAGATCCATTAGGTCTACTAATTGACTACATGGTGACTAAGTACTTGTGGTGTTATCTGTGTGTAAACAATCCACAAAAAAACCTACAGAGAGCAGTGCAATTACCTGATACCAATAGTTTAATATGCTAACCTTGATGATTCCCTAGAGGCTGCTCTAAGAGTGCCAGCATTATGGAGTTCTGAGCCACAAAATATCTGAAATGGAGTGCAGCAGTGTCCCTTGTGAGCTGGTCCGAGCCCCCCCAAGTGTTGCAGTGTCGTAGCAGGGTCACTTCATCAAGCAAGGAGGAGAGAGATTCTGCACCACACACAGATGGGAAAGTTCCAACCTAAAAGAGATTCAGTTTTCCAAGGGGAGAAAAAGTTTCAGATACATTAAATATCAACTGATCATACGACTTTAATTACAGCAAAATTTGAATTAATGACTTGTGAATAGAGCATCTATAAGGATTTTTTATTATAGCAACTTAAAATTCACTTGTATTCCTGAGACATCAAACAAAGCCACCTAGCCATACATGCAGATAAAGACAAAGAAACTGCAAATGCACAGGCCCTAACAGACAATAAAAACTCACCTGAGATAAAACACATGAGAGCAGTGCCTCAGCAGCATCCTTAACCCTCATGCTAGCTGGTTTTAGTTCCTTTTCATGCTTGAGTCTTGGGGCATCACTTGATTTTACCTGGACATTAAAAATATATAGAAATTTAAGCAGCAACAAAACCTGTAATATAATATGAATATTTCTACCATAATATTGGAAGTATTTCTATATACCACATTATAACTCTGAAAATCATCCCATTCCATTTATACCTGTGATTTGGATCCCGATATGCCAAGTTCAACAACCTCTAGAACTGTTGCAAGGCACTCTTTGTCTTGCAAAAGATATGGGTGTGCCACTAGCCAGACACTCGCACAATGGAATGCTGCTACAATGGTTGAATGAAGATCCTGAGGGATTGAGAATAAAATACTTGGTAAAATGAAGATTGACTAACACTGCTATGTAAACCCTATACACATCATCATTATGTAATATCATCATTACTACAAAGTCAATTTCATTTGGTGATCTGCTAATCCAACAAGAACAGGTGTAAATTTTCACTTAAAGTACTGAAACAGATCATCAGCACCTTTGAGTGAGCTCTAGGGGGTCTAGAGCACTGGTAAGCTATGTAATCGCACAGCCACTTCACAGCACGCTTACATTCTAATCCATCTGCAAAAAAATAAAAAACAAAGGAAGGGTTAAAAAAAAAAAAAAAAAAAAAAAAAAATTTATCACCATTAAGTCAATCACACAATTTAGGCTAAGAACTCCACAAAACACACCTTGCTCAGCTATATTGAGTCGAGCGAGCCCAGAGAGCAGTTCTAGTCCCGCCAGAGACACGTTTACATCACTCTTCCACGACGATATCAATCGGTGACAAACGAGGTAGATAGCTCGTACAAATAAGGCATGAGCTGAATCTGTCAAGAAACAGAGAGTAAAGTATTGAGAGCTAATTGTGAAAATAAATTGGGAAGACAAATAAATTAAAGTACCTTTCAACACCAACAAAGTCAAAAGGATCCCCCCCAAGCAATTTTCTTTGAAATGTGGCATTACATGAAGATGTTTTTCCATTCTTATTTCCAATCACCGTCTGTTTAAAACATACATTTGTTGACTTTCCTTTACCTCTTCTTTTAAAATCAAGCCAAAAAGAAATTCACGTTGCACACAAATTAATAGTCTCAATGATCCAATAAATAAATTTAAATTATCAAAAATAAGTAAACAAAAAAATAGACATATGAATTTAAAAATAATCAAAATGATGATAATAATATCAACAACAATAATAATAATAACAATAATAATAA